CTTAATATGTAAAACAAAACTTTACCTCGTAACAGATTGTTTAATTGTTTATTAATAAGTAGTAATTTTTATTGGTAAAATATTTTTGGAAAATAGATGGGTTTATTGTATGTATGTTGTTTATATTTATATGCAAAATATATACTGTAGATGTATTTGACAATATTTACATGAATATAATTATTTTGCAACATGTATATTGTATATTAACAATGTAAGGTATGATGGAGGATGACCCCGACCCCCTCATACCTATTACGGGGTAAATAAACGGGGTTACCCAGATGGGGCCTCAAAAAAAAAAAAAAAAAACTTAAATGAATTTCTTCAAAACAAGGGGTAATAAATAGTTCAGCCAAATCATTATTTTTGTTCAATGACAGTACTTTGGTGGCATTTTGATTTTATTTCTTATCATGATTACGGAATTGGACATTCAGTACTACTAAAAGTTTAAATCAATCCGGTTTTTTCCAGAATAATTATTTTGTTATATATTGTGAAATATGATCATTAAAAATATTTTTTGCACAATTTTGCACAAGTGTTCAAACTTATTATCTAAATAATAATTATATTTGAAATATAACGATATCCAGTTGATAAATTACAAACTATGATGGGTGTTTTTAGCCACCCCTCTTTCTGGTTCATCAAAAGTGACAGATAGTTTGTCCTAAGTTTGTTGAAATTTAAATGTTTTTAAAGTCTAGGACATAACAATAAAGCAAAGGGTGTATTTTATACGATGCGAGTCCACTATCAGGACAATTCTTGTGTAATGTATAGCAAATCACATGCACTAATAATTGTTAAATAAGCTGGCGGAAAACATAATGATTTATTAATCACATTGTATCAAAATTTTGGTTTCTGAAAATTGTACGATCATTTTGTACACGAATTTTAAAAGTGTTTAATTTAACAATACGAATCAATGTGTCACACTGTATGAGAATAAAACGTGTCTTTGCATAATAAGATAATTACTCATGCTAAAAACAGTGCTTAATAGAAAAGATAATACAAGTTTAAATGTAAGGATTGAATACTTTTCAAAATGGAAAGTACACGTCGGGTCACAAGAACTACAATTAAAAGTACAGTTTTTAAAATAATTACAAATACAGTGAATACCCATATACAATGCAAATGCAACACAGGGAAATAATAACCAATCATTTGCAATATCCCTCTCATAAACATGTAAATATCTATCATACGTTCGTTACCTTAATATTGTTTAACTGTCCCGTGTGAAGAGCATAGAGTGTCATATGTATTTTTATTATACCTAAATATACTTAATAAGACACTAAATGGGGATCTTTATTGGCATCGACTGATTTTGTTTTAACAAAAACAGCAACAAGACAACCGAATACATACATAGTAGTTTGTATGACAGAAAATAACAATTGGTCCCTGAAATTGTTTATTAATAATTCAAGTTGCAAAGCACTTATATTACATAACAGCACATACCAATAAAACTGTTGTTGTTTGAATTTAACTGGAACATAACCACAGTATAATTCAAAATAGCGTACTCATTTATCAAATCTTTTACAGACTTTTTTCAATACAATGTCATCATCTTTTCATCTCTTTTCTAAACTTTGATTACAATTAAGAAGAGGAGCGCAACAATAAAATGTCATTCTAAACAAAAATACACCGCGGTTATACCATTGCTCGCGAAATTGGATAATTAAGAACAAATATTGCTAGTGGTTGTTATGTTGGTTATTTCACAACTTTCATGATTAAAATCAGATGTTATCTACAGAAGCAGACGCTATTCTACTTGTCGTGTTTAGTGACCTTTCTGATTCATGTATTTCCGATTCTTTATGATAACATTGTACTTTGTGTCATGTAGCAGTCATAATTAAGCATAAGGATAGTCTTTTTTTATTTTCTCAGCATTTAACACACTTGTGTCAAGCAAAATGTCTGAGACACAAATTCTGTTTTACATCAATGCAAGATTTCTATATTTGTTAATCAAAAGAAGAGTAAACTGTTCTGTTTTTCTTGTGTTTTGTGTTGTTTTTGTGTTGTTTTTTACTTCCTTTTCTCTATATTTATTATGTTTTGTAACTTTCATTTTCAGATATACCCGATCCAAAAAGAAAGGCGAGATAATAGCTAAAATAATGATATACATGTACTATAACACGTAATATCAATACATGCCCTTTAAATCTAGAGATAGAGATATATCCACAAAAAACGTACGCCGCATTATGATAACACAAATTACGACATAAGGTTTTTTTTAGCTAAGATATATACAACTTGAGTAGCAAATCATTCTTTTGAACCAACACTCAAAAATATAATATTATTTTATAAAATATAATCGTTAGATTAAAGATTTAGGGAGAATGAGTACCGTAACGAACAAAATGGTCATGTACTTGTTTCTCGAAATATTTTCAGTGCTTTTCTTTCTTTGATTTTTTCAAATCTCCTATAATCATTACTTAAATAATGATAGGATTTCAGAACAAAAAAAACATGTTATAATGTATTCAATACTTTTTAGCTATTTTTAAAGTATTATTGAGCTTCAACATCAACGAAAATTCAAACAATTCATGTAAGCAAATGGTAGATTGTTATTTACGTGACTGTTCTTACAAACGGATTATGTTCTTTTGCATAGCATTCTTTCTTTGTCTGTCTGTGAAGAACAAAGATATTAAGCTATGGTTCCTAATTTCCTGATAAGCTTACATCTATTTTTGAATTATAACAGCTTAACCCTGAACATGCTGAATATCTTAAATGGACTTGTCCAACTTCCATTTGTTGGACTCTCCATTATGAATTTTAGGGATATCAATTTGAATATTTAAAATTTGTCAGCCAACAGTATGCAGGCTGGCCTGGCTCTATACTGGTGGCAAAGACTTAATGCTTTCGGGTCCAGCATTTAAAGGGTTAATATAAGACCACCAGGTTTTTATGCTTATGCAATTTTACATTCTTATGTGTAATAATTATTAAGAATTGAAACAATGGAGTATAAAAAAGTCATAAAGGTTCTAACACAATCTAAATAGGCACATGATATATACATTTAATCAATTTAAACAAAGAAATTGATTACACGTAATTCAATAAAGTGACTAACAAGTTAAACTATGTTGAGATATGTTGCCTTTCCACTCATTCAGGGGGGGGGAGTCTTTGACGATCTTTAAAAGAAATAAAACGGCATGTTTGACATAACAACATTGCCAAATTATAAGTTATCATTTAAAAGAAAACACAAGAGAAATTTTGATCTTGATATCATATTATTAGGTAATTCGAGATCACATGTTTCACATTCATATTAAATGAATATATTATTCAATACAAATAGAAATTGTTTCATCATGAAACTCAATCAAAATGTCTTTGTCTATCCACATGACAATCCATTAATCATTACAGAAGTAATATTCATAATCCAGCAACTCTTCAAATATAACTTCTACAAAATACAATATTGTACAATAAAATATACAAATAACACACAATAAGGGCGGGCGTGGAGGGTAAAATAGAATTTTCAACATGTGATCTTCTTGTCAAACGAATACAGAATGAACCAAAAAGGCAGAAGCGCAAGCGACAAAAAAGTTTACCGCCAAAAATATAGGCGACCAATAGAAAGTTGTTTACTGCCTACGTAATGCATAAATTAAAATCCACCAATGAAAAAGAGTTTTTAAAAAGGTCAAATTCATTCAACCTTATAATTAAGTTATTTTAGTTCAAAATAAACAAAATTATAAGTTATCATTTAAAAGAAAACACAAGAGAAATTTTGATCTTGATATCATATTATTAGGTAATTCGAGATCACATGTTTCACATTCATATTAAATGAATATATTATTCAATACAAATAGAAATTGTTTCATCATGAAACTCAATCAAAATGTCTTTGTCTATCCACATGACAATCCATTAATCATTACAGAAGTAATATTCATAATCCAGCCACACCCATGGCCATGAAAAAAACAAACAAAAAACATTACAAAATACAAAACATCAGCAAATAAAGTTTAGATACATACAAATCTACTAAGAGGCTTTCATACCACCTCCTTAGTAGCATAATCTCCAAGACTGGTCATTACCAGCTTACGAGACTGAGCCTTTCTTGAGAAACAGTGTGTCTCAAGCAAAGGCATAACGTACATATATCAACTAATGCATATATTTGCATATAAACATTAAATTCAATATCCTGAAACACTCTACAACAAGTGTATACACAATAACAAAACCACTAAGAGGCATTCTTTTAACCTCCTTAGTAGAAAGTAATCTTCAATACTAGCCATTGCCAGTTTGTAAGATTTAATCTTTCTTGAGTAACCAAGTGCCTCAAGCAAAGACATAATGGCATTAGAACATGACACTATCTTACGAATGTATATTCTAAAGATTATAATAATTATGAACATATTTTACTTAACAAGCTGTCTAGAAATACAAATATTGAAACTTGCAGTAAACATGTAGCGCTCATCCAACACTAAGATGTAATTACTTTAAGTGAGCAATGGTATTAATGAAAAATTCTTTCAAACGCCTTGTACCTTCTAGATTAAGATGTAAACCACCGTCTTTTATAGCATAATACTCACGACGGGGCAAGCCACATTTAAGAAAGGGTTTGAAAGTTCTAATGAAAATAACATTTCTTGATTTGCATAGTAGAACCAATTTATTGTTTAAATTTTTAACCCTATTACCAGTAGTATCAAAATCTATAGGGCGGGGAATAATTGCAGATACAAAAATGCTTCCAGAAGATTGTTGACGAACATTGGAAATCAAATCGTTAAAAGATGAGATAATCTCATCTTCTGAACGAGGGCCAGTTACATCATTGGTACCAACATGTAAAATGACATAAGCAGATCTAAGATCAACTTGACCTTGTGAAATACGAAAACTTAACCTTGAAATATTAATTCCAGGAAAGGCTGTTATTGAGTATCCCAAATACCTGACACATTTCTGGCAATGGAGTCTGAGACAATTGTACACTTTCGAAGTGGTGGATGAGCTACATGTTCTGAAAACATACAAAGAACAGTTTATTAATGACTATATTTAAATCAAACATAAAAAACATGAGAAATATCCTTCATAATTTTACACTTATCTTCAATGGATAGTGAAATATAACGTTTATAAACGTCAGAATGCCAATCTCCAAGAATTTGAATTTCATCTGAACTAATATTATTCTTAAAGGCAAGGGTAGCAAAACCACGCCTAAATGAATGAGAGGAATATAATGATGAGTCAAACCCAAGATCATTTAAAACCTGACGCAATTTATTTTGAAATAAATAATAAGTTACCGGTTTACCATTAGGTAAAAGAAATAAAGCATCTGCAGATTTCCCAGGAATGACCTTTAACATGTTATCATATGCAGTAACCGGACACAAACAAGAGCCTGGTAACTTTAATAGAGGAGTCTGTAAAAGACGTTCTCCAAACTGAATTGTTTTGGTCCAATTCATAGTAACTATTAAATCACCATGAACACGAGTAACATCAGACCTAATCAAACATTTATGATTAATTAAATCTTTAAGTGTAGTTGGAACTAAATTTGACTTTCGTGCCAACAGAAAAAATGCAAATAAAAATAAACACCAAAAAACTAAGTTTTCTGGATCTTTAAAATTCAACGTCAAATAAATCTTAGAAAGAATAAAAGGAGTTATAGGTTGAGCTTGTTTTACACAATGACATTTCAATCGGGAAATTCCACGAAGAGTGAAATTTATCAAAAAAGTATTCATTTCATTCAAATTATAACCCAATAACTGATGAACAGTTCTTACACCACTTAAATAATTTCGAATACTAGCCACAGATTTAAAAGATCTACTAAGAAATTGGGAATATAACTGAATTGTTTCAGTTGAAGCAGGTAAATAACAGAAATTGAAATACAAACAAAATAATATAAATGATTCCCATTGAATTTTTAAATTTTTTCTACTATTTTCTGCATATGCTGAAATATTAGACAGTTTTAAATCTGTCTTGAGAGCCTTCAATTGCAGATCTGCAAAATAAACCAGAAGACAAAAAAAATTACCAGTCATTAACAAAAGCAAAATCTTGCTGTAACACCTCATAATGATCTAAATGAAAACCAGATGTTAACCGAAAAAATTCATCTTGAAATTTTTTGTGTTGATACCAACGAGATAAGCAATCAGATATACGATTGTCCGTACTAGATAAATGTACAGCTCTGATCTCACATTCAGTTTTGGCCGTCAAAAAACAAAATTCTCCTAAACCATCTTGCAAAATAGGGCATCTAGCTTTGCCAGAATTTAAAACTGAACAAACAACTTCATTATCACAATTAACAATTATTTTCTTACCCTTGAATTCAGGAGACCACAGTCTTAGGGCCAGAATAATACCAAGTAACTCGAGAACAGCTATTGAGTAATTTTGACCTAGTATGTTATCAGGGAAATTTGAGTGAAAATACTTCCCTTTGAAAAAACCACCACAGCCTGTAAGACAGGAATCCGTCGAAAAAATTGCATCAGGTCTTGACCAATTTTCATATAACAAAATAGACACTCCATTATATTCTTGCAAAAATTTATGCCACCATAAAATATCTTTTTTAACTTCTGATGGAATTATAACATAAACATGAGGAAGATAATTATACAATTCTTTAAGCCAATTTATGAGTCTACTTATAAAAATTCTGCTTGACCGCACACAAGAAGCCACAAAATTTAATTTACCAATAAGAGACTGTATTTCTCTTAGCGTTGCCTCTGTTTTAATTAACCATACTTTAATTAAATTTTTGATTTCAATTAAACGCTCCGGTGTTACTTCCATTGTCATAGAATTTGTATTAAATAGAACACCCAAGAAAGTCATTACTTCTGAAGGTGTACAAGCTTTATTCACAGATTCAATAAAACCACATTTACTAAGAATTTGTCCTAAACAATCATATGCAAAAGGAGCATTATTTTTTGTTTCAGCCCCTGCTAAATCATCAAGATAATTGAGAATACAAAAACCTATCTTATACATAATAAAGGCTATTGCATTCGTAACCCTTTGACATATCTGAGCAGCTGACCTAAGCCCCATGCTTAGAACAGTGTCACAAAAAATATGTTTTTTCCAACAAAAAGCCACCAGATTATAGTTGCTAGGACAAATACTGATTTGTCTGTAAGCTTTTCTCAAATCCTTTTTAAACAAAAGACAACCTTGACCTTTTGATTTTATTAAATGAACAAAATCATCAATTCGAGGAAAAACTAAATCAACACGTTCACCCAAATAACAATCTTTATTAATAAAATCATTCACAGCCTGACCTTTGGGCATACTTAAATCTAAAATAATCCTTCTTTCTTCAGTATCCTTTTTTGGAACTGAATTCAATGGAGAAATTTTTAACTCAGAAGTAAAGGGATTTTTCTTAAAAGGGCCTATAATACATGAATCAGCACTTTCTTTACCTAAATAATTATTAATATCATTTGGATAATCATTAGCGCCAGAATGATTCTTGTACTTCTAAGAATCCAAATGATCAAAATGGAAACCTGTATCAATAAAACCAATCGGAAAACCATATTTCAAAAGATCACAAACTAACAAATCCCTATAATCCGTACCTAACATACGTCTCATAAATTCAGTATTGATTTTATCATTAACCTGAATTTTGCAACCTTCATAATTATAAAGACCAGATTGGCGTACCTTCTCATGAATAAAAACTTTATCATAAATAAACATCAAATCTTTTTTAGTGACATTACAAATGTTACATTTAACTGAATGTTTACAAATAGTATTTTCAATAACTGCTGAATAAACAATATTATAACCCTGTGTTTTACAAAATTTTGGAAAAAATAGATCTACAACATTTTCATTAATTGTCACATTTTTTTTAAGATGATCATATCTATCCACAAGTCAATTTGTGGAATACGGGCATGAACTTGAACATTCTGGATGTTCCAACTTGACCTTATCTTTTATCCAACAAGATGCACAGATATGTTGAGATAATCTTGCAATGCCCTTAACAACAGTAATATGAGGCGCTTTTTGCTGACATTTATTTCTTTGAAATTGACTACAGAACCAAACTCTTTCTGTAGTAACACTAGTATCTGATCTACTTTTTTCAGTCTTATGACGAACATTCATTGATTTTTTGTTAACATTACTCACATGACTAGATAAAATTGCCGATTCAACATATTGATACGAATCTCCCCATTTAAGATGGCCTAGTTCAATCTCTCTTAAAACAGCTGCGTACAAATTCTTAACAACTACAAAGTCATTGGAAGAACAAAGATACATAAGTTTCTTTAATAACTCAAGTCTAGCCTTACGTTCAGAAGCTTGCATAGACGGGGATGAAATAATTTCTAATTCCCCTGCAACAAACAAATTCCATTCTAATTTGTCAAATGTAATTGAGCTAGTGACATATTCAAATCTTAGACTGGATTGAGGATACTGTTGTCTACTGACTACTTTATCCCCAGCCTTAGCCAAAATACCAGACCTAATTTTATTCTTCCAATAATGAAAAGTATCAACATCAGAATCTTCTGATGAACTTAAACAATTAGACACCTTTTTCTTCATATTCTTTGATATCTTATTCAAACTTTCATCACTGCAAGTGTCTGAATCTGAATGAGAAAAAATATCCAAACCAATTTTACTAATTTTCGACTTTGCTTTCCTTCGTAGATCTGTGTTTTTTCTCAAGTCATTAAGCGTAACATGCTCAATATCTACATTTTTACTTGAATCATCAATAACTGGTTTTTTACTAGAATACAAATTGATACCTCGTACGATCTCACCTCTTAATTTTTTAACGTCCTGTTTCTTCTGTTCAATTTGTTTTCTCAATACGTCTGCTTCGGATAACTGTTCCTTAAGAACCCGTTCTTCTTGTTGTAAGGCGCTCAGCTCCTTCTTCATCTGAATGATACCAGAATCAGTCTGACGACTCTTACTATTCAAGTCTGTATCCCCAGAAAATTCATCATCCTCGTGAAAACTGACATTTTTAGCGGAAGCGGAAGTTGGCAACAAGGTCGCTTGCGTAGTTTCCTCGGAAAACAATTTAATATCTTCCATGTGTTCCTCTGTCCAGAAGGATTCCTGGTCTTCATCTCCGAATCCGTCATTTAACAATTTATAGTCCACTCTTTTACCTCTAGAAGGTAATATTTTTTTCTTCTCCAGTTCCTTGGACGCCATGTTAGTCCCAAAATACAAACAGCTTACGCGGCACGAAGTACCGAAATACAAACAGCTTACGCGGCACGAAGTACCGAAATAAAGTTTATTCGTATTCAACGAAATATTATTTACTGAATACGAAAACTCCTCTTGGTATGCACTATAAAATCCTGATGAATAAAACACCAGTCCATAAATCAAATAAAATACCAACATATGTGGAACAATTCTGTAAAATAACTTTCAATAAATTTGTGTAAAATAGAATTTTCAACATGTGATCTTCTTGTCAAACGAATACAAAAATGGACCAAAAAGGCAGAAGCGCAAGCGACAAAAAAGTTTACCGCCAAAAATATAGGCGACCAATAGAAAGTTGTTTACTGCCTACGTAATGCATAAATTAAAATCCACCAATGAAAAAGAGTTTTTAAAAAGGTCAAATTCATTCAACCTTATAATTAAGTTATTTTAGTTCAAAATAAACAAAATGACTATAAAAATGAAACAACGAAGGAATGCAGCATAAAGCCTACATGTCCACTTTAATGAACTAATTATAACTAACTAAATCAGAAGTATATAATTATTTATACTATTTCTATAATGATCGAAAATGTGCTATATATGAAATAAATTCGTGTGAGGATTTTTTTCTTCATCTATATTCAAACTGAAGATAATTTCACGATGTGTTAACTACCAATAAAAATTGAATGTATTCGAAACGTGTTGCTCCACGTATATTTCAAATGTTATTGAATTGTACCCACCTTTTAAGAAATATGAGAAAATGTTAAACTTATTTATTGTTTCCTTTATTAATTAGATCTAGTTTAAATGATAAAGCATTTTCAAGAATCAAAACATTTTGTTGACCGAAATCAAAGAAAATAACATTTCAATCTCAAATGAGCCATAAAACTAATAAAATTTAAATTAAAGTTGTGAACGATTTACCTGCTGTAAAATATATTCCATCATTTTTACTAAAAGCTGTTTCTATTGTAGTTCAACAGTTCAAAGAAAGTTAAAACATATGTATGTTATATGTTCTCTAACAATTTTTAGACGAAATGTTGAAATATCATATTTATAACGAAACTTAAATAAAAGTGTTATGTTACTTTTGTTTTGCGTTGTTAAAGTCTTATTTTTATTTTTTTGTTGGAATTTTGATAACTTCTTAAAACAATAAGCATAATAATTTATTAAAAGCACAGACCTTCATAATCTTTTAAAAGTAACTGAATCAATATCACAAACGATATATGCCTTTATTTTACAACTTAGTTTACCATTGTTCACGGAAATAACAATTATGCATAGAACAAGAACATGTTTTTGTCGTTTTATTTTAGAAGGGAATGTATGTCTTTTTCTTGTTTGTTTGTTTGTCGTTTTTATCCGAAGATTTGTAATACTTATAAAGTAAACTCCTGTTAATTTCGTAGCAATACAAAGACGTAAGCTAAGAGCGAGGAAGGACAACATGTCGCCAGCTTTAGTCCCGTTTAACTTGCCTTATCAATCATTTTATTGTACGTATTGCATCTATATTCAGTTTTTTTCGTCTTTCATAAACATACACGAGTTCCTTAGAATATTTCTATAACAGTAGCCAAGGAGATTACGTAAAGACATATTCCCTGAAGGACATGAATAAATAGAACATGCAATCTGTTTCAATAATATGATTTATTATAATTACGTCTGGTTTTCTCTATACAAATCAGGCGAACAGTTAAAAATTAATTATTCAAGAATTAATGACAATGAAACAAATATGTATAACAAATAATAATCTAAAACAAATACGTGGTAATTGTAAGACTATTGTTCAAGAACTGCAGTATAAGGGTCACCGTGCCCTTCAATTAACCAAGTAAATAACCTATTTTTTATCAATCGAATAATATAAAATCAGTATTTCCTTCATTAATTGTTTAAAGTATCTCCTTAAATATTGTCTACGTTCATGATTAAACAGTAAACTTAGAAATGAGTTTAAGTTATTTAATAAATTCTATTCACTTTCATATACATGTATATGATTAATATCAAGATAAATCAAATATAACCAATAAACTCTGTATTCAATAATAATGTTTAAGAATACAACTAAAAAGGCAGGCGCATATTTTATTGCTTAAAGTAAATATCAGTTAAATTACAAAAAAATAGTCATGCGACATGAGACAATCTTGTTTTGCAACAAAAAAATATACACTAAAAGTCATTTGGCTTGAGTATATTATATTTTAGATCTAAATTGTGTGTTGTCGTTTTTTTTACTTTGTGGAAACCATTTATTGTTCAATAAATTTATGTGCTAGGGGGGCATGGACGGTAACTTACAATTACCACTCATGTCCGTGAACAGGCTCAATCAACCCAAGCAAGCAGCATATTCAATGAAGTCATGTCGGGCTTTATTTAGGGATTTTGTTTGTCTAACAATGTTTAAATTATGGGACAAGATGCAAACCACAATTTGTGAACTAGTAATTGTGCACGATATGCTTATCTGATTTGAACATAACAGTTCTAAACAGTCAACAGAATAGAATACGTAAAATGTTGACAATGGTTATTTTGAGAATCAGTCAAAACATGCGCTTCTGATTGGCAATTAGCACACCCTTAACAAAAACATAAATATAACACTTTTATTTTGCTTTTAAAATTAAGCTGATGATGCACTTCTTCCATGTCATAGTCAGATATATGCAAATGAGAATACATTAAATACACATCGTTCATTTGATATCATTTCTTAGAAATCATTCAATTTAAAATCCATAACAATTATCAGAGGTCAAATATTGTTCATTTGAGACACTTTGACATTGTACAGCTGTTCTAAATCAGATTATATAGATACTGGACAAAGTCTTCAGGGTCTATTTTCGTTGAAATGTTAAAACCTAGTGTTTAGAAATCCTTTGAAGTTCTAATCTACATTGTATTAATAAATTATAGTGCCTCTTTTTCCAAAAATTCAAGAAACAAAAATAAATAAAAACAAGAACGTGTTTGTTAAACACAAATGCCCCCGGCTCAGATTCTTGTCAGTAGCAATATTTCAAAAAATGTTTACCCATTCACTCAGTTATGGACAAAATAATTGCCAAAAAATTGTAAACACAAGTTATATAGCTTGACAAAGTCATGGCATTTTGTAATTGTAAAAAATATAAGTTGCCAAGTCATTGCTCTGACTTGTGAAGTTGAAAAATATTCAACTCTATCCAAAAGAAGAATACCATGTAAGTTATCTTCCTACCAAATATGAAATACATCTGTCAATAAATAAAGGCTGTATGGGCAAAAGTGTAAAAATCTATTTTAAGCACTGGTGACCTTTACCCAACTGACCGCTTACTCCATCCAAAGGAAGGATACCATGCAAGTTATCTTCCTTCCAAATATGAAATAATCTGTCAATAAATAAAAGCTGTATGGGCAAAAGTGTAAAAATCTCTTTTTAGCACAAGTGACATTGACCTACTGATCCCTACCCCAAACTAAATGATGAATACCATGCAAGTTATCTTCCTACCAATTATAAAATATATCTGTCACTTAATAACGGCTGTATGAGCAAATGTGTAAAACTCTATTTTTAGCACTGGTGACCTTGACCTAACTGACCACTAACTCCATCAAAGTTTATGTTTCTATCAATTATAAATAACATCTATCTATAGAATAAGGTCAATACACCTGTAAAAATGTAAAATTCTATCTTTGACATTGGTGACCTTGACATTGGTGACCTTGACATTGGTAACATATGACCCCTTACTACACCCAAAGAAGGAGGACCTCCCTTGCCATGTTTGTATTAAACTAAGACATCAACTAAAAAATAAAGGGTGTATGAGCAAAAATGTTTATATTTATTTTTTAAACCAGTGACCTTGACCTTGACCCTAGAGACCGCTTACTCCACAAAAAATTAGAGGACCATCAAAGGTATCCACCTACTAAATATGAAAGATATCATTAAAGCAATTACTAACAGGAGAAATTTAAGATAAATCCAACTTGCCGAAATAGGTAAACCAGACAAGGCCCTATTTTCAAAGTGAAAAAAGGGAAATAACTAGGAAATATGGATGACACAGTTATATAACTTGGCAATATCATGAACTTTGTATTGATAAGTAAGTGTGGAAATTATAAAGCCATTAGTATAGATATAACTTAAGATATTTCCAACTTGCCGTTTTTGATTAACCATTATTCATTTTCTAAGTGCTGAAAAGGGCAACAACTTGATAAAAGCCAGAGTTATGTAACTTGTTGGAAAAATCCAACTTGCCGTTCTAGGTTAACCTCGTACGGACAGACGGACAGACCGACGGACGGACGGTTCAATTACTATATGCCCGGGGGCATAAAAAAGTTAAATATTTAAAATAACAAATTAGAAAAAAACACATAAATTTACATTTTAAAAGCGATATAATTTCAAAACAAACATGTAAGACATTGTATTATAAATCAACTTCTGTTTATCAATTAAGTTCTGAATATGGCAATGAAAATGTAAGGAGTTGGCATTTTGCTATAAATCAAAAAGAAATATTAATGGCAACTTTGAAGAAAAAAAGTTTAATATGAGCGAAAAATTACCTGCCTTGAAATAATATTGCTTTCACGATTTATCCAAACGAAATAAAGTACTAAAACGTTAAAAATACTCTAAAGCTTTTTTATATCAAATGAATAAACAGGTATTTCAAAAGTGTTCCTCACTTCTTCTTACAGTTGTTTACAACAATGATAGATTACACTTCAACGAATATCGACAAGCATTTGCTCAAAGATGTCTTCAATGAGCACTACAATTGTACTATAAGCTGGATACAGAGCTATTGCACTAATGTTATAACATTCGTTGCAATTTATCGTTTTATAGATTCAAAAAAGGACCTAATCTTGAAAATAAATTACGTAAGACTTAAAAAATATTTCGCCGCTCACTTAAAAGCTTCTCTCTCTGACACTACGTACATGACAATCATTAACACTTGATGATAAAACGTTATGTTAAGACATATAAGAAAACCATATAATATCAATAATGCCATAACCATACGAGTTCATTCACCACATACGTCGACTATTTTATATGACTATATAAATATACACGTATACTATTAAAAACATGAAACACAGTGTTTATCATAAAAAGTATGACTCTTAACAAGTTCTCAATTACTTGTGATATTCTTTGTTTAATTGTAACCCTACATTTACCCAAGACAATAACACTTAAATTGATCAAAGCTATTTTTGCAGTGAGGTCTAAAATGATTTTTTTTCAGGAAATATAAAACAGATTGAGAACACTAAAAGTTATGATATTTAAGAATAAACAACATCGTGATTATGATCAGATTCTATCTAACCATGCTGACATTTTTATGATTCTTATCGTTTTGGGAGCCCTTTCAGTTTCTAATAATAGCAGCGTAC